TTTGTTAAGTAGGGCATTCGTTTTTAACGAGTTTAAAACAAGTTTTTTCATGTTAATTGAAGAATAATGATTATATTTTATGAAGCGAATAAGCTCTGAGATGAAAATAAGTCTTTATTTGAGTTCACTCATATTTCTAACATATACGCATGATTTAAAATAAAAGATTTATTTAAAATATGATTATTTGCACACAAAAAAATAGAAAGATAGAGACTGTGACATAACATGTGCGTCTATTGTATTAATTCTACAGGAAAATAAAAAACCATTTGTCATTCAATGTTTTTCCATTTTACGAACATTTATTCACATATAGAGAGGAGAATTAAATTATATAAAAAAACCGCAAGAATTTTTATTCTCTATTCTCTTATTGATGAATGAACAACTCTCTTATTTCGTGTTACCGATATGACTTCGAGTTTTGAATGGTGTTCGTGTCATTTTTAGTTCAACATGAGATAGAAGTCAGAGTTATCATCCCTTTTAATAGAATAAACCAAGCCCTATGGAAAATTTTTTGTTTGATGTATGTTTCAGGTCTTGAATTTAGTAGCAGCGCGACAGGGCAAGGCCCCTTCTCCTGATTTTGAAAATTCTAACGTAAATGGATAAAAAAAGAAGATTTTCTCCAATTTTATAGATATTTTTTGTAGTTTTTGTTTCATATTTCTCTCGCCTTACCATGTTTCTTCCACAATTTGGGGAAAAGTCATTGTGCGCTTACTGTCTATGTTGATCGTATAAAAACGGCTTCTTTTTTGTTCTATGTTTCTAACAGAGATGTGCACGGGTGCGATTTTCAGACCCGTATCCAAAAAACCTTTTTTAAGCGTTCTCCAGTTTCTTGAGATACCTCCTCCTGTTCTACGGTTGTCGCATCACTACTGCTTGAATGTAAAAAGCAAATAGAAGACGTTTGTATTTTAAGTCTTTTATTTACTTCTTTTGGCTATAGTATATCAATTGTAATATACGATTTAAAGATGCTTTTTAATCAAAATTTTACCGAAAATCCTGAAGAAGATTACAGTATTTATTGATCATCTTACATTGTTAATTTATTGTCTAATATAGAGAGAGAAAACCAAAAAGAAACTATTTGAATAACGTTCTTTATTGTAAAAATAGATCATAGAAATCTCTTTATGTTTATGTTTCGCTCAATGAAACCTACAATAGATATTCGACTAACTATGGTCGATGGCATCATCGCTTGGGAGCAGTATGTTAAAAGAAATGTTCTTTTATTCTCCTTGAAGCCTTCTGTCTTTCTTTCTTTTTCTTTTCTTTTTTTGTTCATATCATGGATTATTTTTCTTTTTTTTCTTTCTTACTAGTTATTCTTTTCCAAATGTTTTGAAAATGAGAACAAGGCAAAAAAAAAAGGGAAAAAATGTTCAGTTCTACTATTATTCTATAGTCTAGCTATACAGATTTTTGACTCTTCAAAGAAGACGCACGCATAAAAACTATTTTTGTTGTTGTTGTTGAGCTTTTAGCATCATTTTGTGTGTGTGTGTAAACGAATTTCGACATTAAATAATAAAGCAAGCAAGATAGAAAAAAAAATGAAAGAAAGAATAAAAAAAAAAGCAGATTGTTGGAAAATATTTCTTATCGTGGTGGTGGCAGCGGCGGTGGTAGCATCATCACATAATAAAATAAAAGAAGACGAAGCTTGACGAGATTTTGTTAAAGCTTTATCTTTACGTATTGCACATCGTCTGTTATCAAGTAAAAAAAAAATTCGTTAATTTACTCCCAAAAACAAACTATTGTCTTATAATGAACAATTCGATTGTTAATATCGATTGTCACCGTGTTCGTTATCATCGAACTAATCAAATTGTTGTGTTACTATTATTATTATTATTATCTACTACCACTTAACATACATCAAGCAGTTTTACGTTAATCAACAAAATAAACTACAAAAATGACTATGGCAACAGTGTGGCAGCATGTTTCCTTAATGGATCACCCAATGTCGTACGTATTAAGTATTACTAGTAGCTACTATTTACATTATATTGTTTAGCCATATTGTATAGTTGATAAATGCTAATTGTGTGAGAATATGATCGTCTTTTGTATAGAAGTAGAGTATAAAGATGAGAGAAAGTCAAGCATTGTCCCCATAATAGATTTGAATAATTTAGAAATAGGATATACAGAAGGAAAATATATATACTGAAGAACAAAAAAACAACAACAGCTCTTTTGGGATAAACTTCTTCTTTCTTTCTTTGTGTGTGTCTATCATTAGTTTTTATTATCGCATCCCATTGTATTAATTCTCATTTTTCTCTCAATGCAATACGCATACACACATAACACAACTGTAAAAGATATTTTTCTTTGTTTAGTTGTCTATCATGTAAATAATTGTCAAACAATTTATGTATACCGTGAACCACCGAATTTCAGAAGAATAAATCTGCATCATTTTGAAAATTTAAAAGCACCTCATCTATTAACGCACACACATGCTCAATTGACGAGTCAAAAACGTCAAAGCAATGTGCTACGACTGTTTTACAGTTTGAAAGATAATAGATAAGAACGGTAGTCTTGCGATAAGAACAAGATTGTACTAAAACTTGTGATCTAGGACTGATGTGATCCTAGGCGACTGAACTTAGGGCAATTCTATAGAGATCTTATAGAAATCTTATTTAAGGCAGTCGATGAAAATGCGTAATTTATCGATAAGATTCTTATACGAAGGAATATAAAAATCTTACAAGATGCGGGTAAGATTTCGGTAAGGCAGATTATATAAGTAGTTTAGAAGAATTCATAAGACTTTGATAAGTTAAAATACGAATTTTATTTACATCAATTAAAGCGTCTACCTATACGTAAACTGAAGGAAGCGTATGGGATCCTACGAAACACGGGAAAGCTTGCACTAGCAAACCTATAAAATCCTGTGAATTTCCTATATAGGATAATCTAGGTTTTTGTCAGAATTACACTGAGAGATCTAGTTTGTATTTTACTAGTAACAACTCATTAAAATGTTTTTCAACGATACATTTGCTGTCGCGATCAATTACGAACAGAACGTCCTAAGTTTACCTGATTAGAATAAGGTGTAACCGTCATTCCTGATCTAGCCTTTTTTATCGGTCCTGAACAGTCTTGTGTAGAGACTTTGTCAAAAGAAAAAGGTTTATGATTGAAAAATTCTGTAAGACTTTTAGTGCACCATGCTCGACTAAATGCCGACATGTTTGTCTTACTGTTTTTCCAGCATATATACTATCACAATCATTACATTGTAACCCATAAACTACGCCTAACTGTAGCAATTTTGGAATTGCGTCTTTATTTTGGAAAAATGTACCCATCGGTTTAGGTGGTCTTAGCACAACGGTCAAATTAAGTTGAGGTTTGACGGTTCTAGTTAACTTTTTTCTGTAAGGTTCTTCTTCCAGGTTTTATTCCGTAAATAATTAATTAATAAATAGGAAGAAAATTATTTTATTCACATATGAAACAGTAGATTATAGTAAGAAAGTAGAATATGGGGTACTTGGCTTACAAATATCTTATATAACAATTCTATAAATTCTGACACGATTCTTATAGGAGTCTTATCAGTTCCTTATATAACATTCTTATCAATATTCTACGCATTTCCGTCGACGACCTTCTTATGGAATTCATAAGATTCTTGCAGATATTCTATAAGATTCCTATAGGAATCCTATATAAGACTTGATCTCTAGGGTAAACGACTTCGCATTTTGAAAGCATGAGCAGTTCCGTTCTATAAATAATAAATAATTTTGTAGCTTCTAAGTCGTGTTGTTATTAAGAATAAAAGAATTAAACCAAAATGTAAACATTATGTAGCTATTGTGTTCAAATCAAAATTAGCGTAGATCTTTCACTCTAAAAAAGAATTGTTTTAAAATAAGGCGACAAAAATCGTTTGAACTGGATTGATTCGTCCTACTATAAGATTTTTCGATCTGTCTTATGCTCTTCCGTCTTATATGAAGACGAATCGACTTGACTATTTCACAACTGACTTACGACGTCTTATTTTACGTTGAAGAAACTTATTCGTCTTACCTTAACATGACCTATTCTTACATCTTAATTTCATTATTGAAGGTTAGTTCTGTTGGAAGACTATGAGAGCACATCAAGTGCTGTCTATATCAATGGTTTTAGTAAGAAATCAAAATGAACTAACAAGTTTTTTTGAAAGTAGCATTATTTTTCATATACCGGTGACAAACACAAAAATAAAAGAAATGAATAATTTTACCATCGGTTATAGAAGTAAGGTGGAAGAACGACTTTCAGGAACGAGTGTCTTAAGATAAAATGGATGAAAAAGAATACGACGAAGGAAATGGAAAGACAGATAACATAAGACGGATTTTTTTCAGCATGTTCAATCGAGGGAATGACATCAACAAAATCGTTTTGAAAGGCTATCTCATTTCATGTTATGAAACTATGAACGATAAGTTTACTGTGATTCAAACTTTAAACTATGGTTAATTTGTTAGGTTTATCAGGAAGTTAAAAGCTTTTAATATAATCAATCTAAGTGCGTAGCAGTTTGCCATCATTGCTGATGCTGTTTCTCTCGATTGGAAAATTATGGTTGAGGATTTATTTGTCTGTTTCTCTCTCTTAGATTATTGATTGCCATGTATACACAATTTTTGTTTCTATCGCGTGTTATTCGATGCTATATATGCGTATGTTTTATGGAGGTGAGAAATACGTTTGACACAATCAGACAAATTAATTAATGCTTTCTTATAGACCAAAAAAAGAGAACAACATTTTTTAGTTCGTATTATCTGATAAAAATATTAGCATTAAATAAACGGTAAATTCATTAAACCTTGGACAAAAAACTTTAATTAGCGAAACGCAGAATGAAATATAATATTACTAAGCAAAAAAGACTATTAATACTATATAATTGCCTGTGATGAATATAGATAAACTAACTCATCATGGCTATGACAACATTGTGGCAACCGTCCGGATTATTACTCGATACTCCACCGTAAGTAACGAAGACGATGTATAACACATTTTTTGATCATTATAACATAACATTTTTGAGAAAAATTAATATATTGTATTAGAATCCTATTTAGTCTACTAAAAGATAAAAAGTTGAACAGAATGTGTAACTTTCGCATTAACTTGTACTGCAGATGTTGTTTTTGTTTTCAACCAAAGAATCGTGCTAATTATCATCAGATCCACTAAAATTAACTCAGACAAATAGGAAGAACAAGGAAGAATAATACCCCGCCTTGTGGCTACTGTTACCGGTGTAGGGTGCTGCAGTGGTAGTTTCAATAGCGCGATATCTTCCCCACAGTTGACAAACTTCTGAAATAGTCACCCATCTCGTTACTAGTCATCAACCGCAGCTCTGTCGAGAAGACTAGCCTGACGCAGAGTTCTTGTGCCCAATTACCTGAGCTCCCTTCACTTTCCAAACTCACTTCACTAACCACGTCTTAGCATTCTGAAAAGCCACAAGGGCTAACTGGAGAAGCTGTATTGTAGTCACTATGGAGTGAGCGTGCTGTTAGACGGGTGATTCGAGGCACTAAGCCATAAGTAACTTGCCCAAGATTATTACATAACTTTCGCTAGCGCCGAGGTTCGAACACAGTACCCGTAAAGTACATGACCAACAAAAATCATCAAGCCATGCTATCCCAAACAAATAAGAATGTTCTAGAAGGAAAATCATCCGTATATTCTGTAATTCTAAGCGGAGGCAATTTTCGCTAAAATTTGAGAGAACAACGTTACAATAGCATACATAAAGGCATTAGAACGGCAGGATTCTTTCCAATAAAATCGTGTAACAAAAATAATAGTTCATTCTCAATTTACATTTAACAATAATTTGATTGTAGAACTAGAAGATAATCGTTATGATATTGATGTTGTAGTATTTGACTTGTAAAATATAATGACATAGTATCATCTCAGAAAGGATGTCGAAAAAAATATCGAGTAATGACATTTAATCACCAATTTTATCGAAAATCTTTTGAATAATTTATTCCGCTACTTTCCAATAAAGGTAGAACGAAAAAGGTAACTGAAGTAGCCTATTTGTCAAGATATCGTTTTCCACTGATTCTACTATATCAGCTGTTAAAATGCTAATGTGATATGTCACAGTTTATCAGAATGATATATTAACGTTGATTTACAATGATGATATCAAATTTATCATCACTTCTTTCGGTAGAAAAAAAAAGAGTCTAGTCTATTAGTATTTTTATCCACTATATTGTATTTTATTACTTTTCAATATCCATCGTAAAATAGTTTCTTAGATCAATAGAATTGTTTAGTCGGAGAGACTGATAGTTAAGAAAGAATAGGAAAAAACAATGAAATCAAATCCTATAGGTCATAATATGAAACCAGCTGAACAAATTCAATAGCCATTTGTAGGATTATTAGATAAACTTATATAGATGAAACATCGCACAGATAAAATCGAGAAGATTTTTTTTGTTTTATATGTGCACATTTATTTTTTGTCATATGCAATATATATATATATATATATGTATGTATCATAGAAATAACATTTCGAAGACAAACCATATACATTTTCATCAATACTGACGTCAACGATGAGAATAGTTGTGTGTATAGAAAGCAATGACATTAATGACGATCCTTAAATTTATTTTCACGCATAATAGTGTTGACAGTCCCCATGTGCAATACTTTTCTCTTCTCTATATGTGTGTCACACATAACGGATTTATTTTCAGCTTTTTCTCTCCCTCGGTGTGTTTATTTTGTCACACTAAATTGTTACATTTAGTTGTTTTTACCCATTAGCAACGTCATTCACTCCTATCGTGTTATTTTAATAGCTGTGACTATTCCGATCGTATTTCGAATAACTAATACACTATTCTATTCTACTCTCTACTTCATAAGTTACTTTACAAAGGTCGAATAATTAGAAAATATAAGATTGTATTTTTTTTTTCTTTTGTATTTACTCCTTTTGCGTTAATTATATGTTATGACAATATTTCGTCGACGAGAGATTTTCTTTTTGTTGTCATTTAACATCGAATGTTTTTCCGTGTATGGGTGTAGTCGTCGATGATTCTCACCGATCGTTCATTGTAAGCTATATTTATAATTCATAATTCATATTTATATATAAAATTCAATATTTTTGTTGTTGAATTCTTTATCATTATAAGAGGTCAAGATACAAGAAGACGTGGAGTGGATTTTGAACAATCATCCAAACCAGCAACATCCAAACATCATCCACATGTCACTCATCATATACCAATTGATAATGAGGAGCATGTTCAAACATCTATAGCAAATTTTATTTCTCCTGTAGCCAGGTTTGTGATAATTCGTGCATGATTTATTTCACATAAACTTGCATGAACTGAAGTAGAAACTATCAGTTTGAATTTGATTAAAATATTATCGGTGCAAAAAAATATATATAAATTTTACTCATTAAAAATTAATTTTTAATTAAAATCTTTAAATTAAATTTATTTTTAATTAAATCTCATTTTTTATTCAAGAGTTTCAATTAAAAAATGATTGATCGATTGTAGTGCATAAAAAATGACGTTGATCTTTTCGTTTATAGATATTGTTTATTCTGTGTTCTTTATAATAAGAATTTTTTGAGATTATATTTAGAAAGGTATAATATGTGTGTGTCGGACATTCTTGGTTTTCCTTATTTGAAGTTTACTGTACTGATAATTGAAGTATAGAAGACAATTGCTAAAAATTAACCATAGTAGTTTTGTCAAATGACTCTCAGTGATAGATTATATAATGATATTAATTTGACGCTGATTGTTTGTCCAATGAGTTCTTTACAGACAATGTCTCGATTGTTGTGCTATTATGATGTTAATGACGAGGTGTAGATATTGTGTCAAAAAAAACACCAACCTTATAATGTCTATGTAGCTTTTGTTGACGTACTATAGTAAAAAAATGATCGAAAGATGGGTAGTAATGACGAGTTTATATTTGTTCCATGTCAAAAAAAAAGTAATAAAAACACATACACGCACATAGATCTAATATTGCCTTTTCTATAAAAGGAAAAAAATAGAATACGTTTCTTCTAATGAATATTATTTTATTCTACAAAATATGTATAGAAATGAATACCACAGACTCTCGTGTCTGTCATTCTAACTGCGAGAATGTACGATTGTGTGATAATATAAATCGACAATGTTAGACTCATCTAATTTTGATTTGAAAGATTACCCTTGATATAGTTCATAATTATCGATGTTAGCCGATTATGAATTATTTTTTGAAAAAAATTTAGTTTTTTTTAAGGTTTCTCAAAAAATATTCGACGCCACCGCCTAAGGCTGAAAGCTTTTTCTGAAAATTTATATAGCTGCCACCAACAAAACATCGATACTTATAATCCAACTTTGACATAGTTAAACGATACAGACATCTAAAGAAAGATTGTTACCGCATTTAATAATCAGAATATAATATTATTCAATGACATTTTGTGTCTGATAATCTTTAGTTATGTTTATGATCGATAATATTAATATAAATTAAATTCTTCAAAAAAGAATGATAAAATTTGTAATATCGTTTCTCTTTATCAATATAGCATCCAGAGATAATTTGTTGATTAAACTATCAGTCCTCATCGAGACACGGAAATCAAAAACATCCATCAAAGTCAAACAATTTTGTTAGAACGAATCATTGTTTACTTAGTCAAAAGTCTTATAAATAATTAATTACTGGTACCCTTAATATAGTTTATTGTGAAAAGAATGTTATACAATTGTATTACTATCAATTTAGTTCACTAAATATCGGTTCGAAACATTATATCGGTTAAAAATGCTTAAATATGCTGCTTTATGTCACAGTATGCTTCAAACTACTAAAACATTTTGTTTATACTTTCGAAGTTTTCCCAAAAAATTTATAAGATCTAAGATGTTTTTTTGACTTTATCTACTTTTAGGTTTATCAACGTGTAAGACATTTAAGATAGAGTATATTCTGAGGTATTTCTATCTGATGTTGCGTAAGTAACGAATTTTTCAGTATTGTATGAAAACTATCTAATTTAGAACTCGAATTACATTTTCTATATATAATTCAGATTTGAAGTCGAAGCGAAGATGACATGAATTGAAAATTTGACTCGAGTGTTTTTGAGTTAGTCACATGTAACTTTATATATATTATGAGTATGTAGATGCAGGAAGACGGAACGAGAGAATATTTTGGGAAGGACACTTCGTCTCATGGCGAGATTAAAGACCTAGAAACACTAGCAATCTGAAAGCCGTTCTTGCAAAAATGAACCGGTGAAAATATTAACCTTCAGAAAATTACTTGAGAGTCAGTTTTTGATGCGCCTTGGATTCGAAATAAAAACATAGTGCCTAGGTCTTGACTACCACTACAATCATATTCCAGCCATCTATGAAGTTTTTACTGATCGTCTCATACTAGTCATGATACTCTCAAAAAAACGATGTCACGCCTAAACCGTATAGATGAAGGATCTGGAGGATTATGAGTCTTTTTTAGAGAAAAAGTTTGAACTATCCGTTCATAAAATAAGAAATGTATTACTATTTTGAGTTTTAGAAATTTGAAGAGTGTCTTGAATGATCCTTTTAAAGTTGTCTCCACTTTTGAACGATTGTTAAAGGTTTTTTAAATAAAAAGACATCCATCGATCGGTTCTATCCTTAGATCTCTATTTCTAAAGTCATTCAGAAAATGATGGACTAAACTATATTTTGAATTGGATAGTGATTTATTAATAATTTATTACTCTAACATGACAAGTTTGCTTGCAAAGTACGACATCTTTGTGTATTTCTTCGCGTTCTGTGGACACATTCTATTACTATCAATGTTGCGCTGTTTTTGTGATTACCCCTGGTTTACTGCGGTTCGAAAAGCTACCGTCACTAAACCGTACCACTCGGTGAAACGTGTGGTTTAGCGAAGGTTATTTTCTATACCACGGTATGACAAAATACCGAGTGGTAAACCGATTTTTACATTCACCGTTTTGTTTTGCAGCAGCCATTACATAGAAACAACGCCAAAAATCGACAAAAACTTGATTTATTTTCAGATAAAATTGTTTTTTATTAACTTTGAGACTCATTGAAATTTAATTTCGACTCGAGTCAAACTTTCTTCTATCTAAAGAAGCCATTCTGCGCTTGTAAGCGCTTGAAAGTTTCAACCTTTCGAACTCCTATTCTATGTGTTCAGAATGAAAATACCGCCGGTATTACCGATCTGTAACCGACTGGTACCGCTGATACCGCAGTAACCGTGCGGTAATTTGCCGGTTAAGCGTCCCGTATATCCTTCGGTAACCGACGATATTTCATAGGTATTGAAGATTGATAGTTGCAAAAGAGAATCATTCACTTACTGACTCGCGATTCCTAGATCTTTCATCTGATGATGATGATCTTTATGTGATCATACATTTCTAAAAGCTTCAGTTCAAAGCAGTATCTATAAAAGTTAGTGTTCATTTTTTTTTTTTCTATTTAACACCACCATATACTGTCCCTTGCATTAGTCTTTGTATTTTGCTGTTAAATAACTCGATGGAATGGCTTCGGTAGCTTCCATGTTATCTACAGTGTATCCTTTAATTTTCTCTAAATACAATAGCTTAAAATAAACTAAATGTTCATAACATATTTACTTATATTAATCATTTTAAACTTTTTTTAAACATTTCGGGACTCTATTTTATTTGCATGCTATGTTAAATCTATAGAAAGTCTATACCCAAGAGACATCACTTCGCCTTTCGTTTTTATATTTTATCGTTGTTTTTTATCAATTTACTTTTCTATTGCTCTTTTTTCAATCAATCAATCAGTAAGTCTTCTTTTCGTTTATGATTGACATTTGCTTATTTTTGTCTTTTTTATCCGGCGATGTACACGCACCCGATTAGAAACAAAAATCTCAAGACATTTACACAGTGGAAAAAAATATGTAGTTTCGTTTCCTTATTTTAACCGTGTCTGGAAATTATCCTCATTCATTTTATTCATATTGATCATGATTTGATTATATTATAGTAAAGTAAAGCAATCATACTCTCAGGAGACTTTGACTTCATTATTGTACGAACTCTTTACAACTCATCGTTATGTATATCGATATTCATCAGTCTCACTCCGTCGCTAACGTTCAACACTGAAAGTTAAAAAAAACATTTACATCACTCGGTTTCCTCAATCACATGCTTAGTTTAGATATTATCATCTTAGACAAAACTATCCGTGAGTAGTGTAAAAAGTATTCCTCGGTTAAAGAGAATTAATATTTCATCTGTGCATATTAAATAAGGAAAAAGTTGTTGACTATTCGTCTCGTATATGATGGTGAAAGTTTGTCAAGTTGTCAAACGAATCTATAGTGTCTGAATAAATGTATATATTAATGTACATATAATAATTTTATATGCAGCAAAAAGAATACAATATCTGCTATTTCGTGCTTTAATATTTCTTTCTCCACACGATTCTTCTTCTTTCTTATCAACATCAAAAGCGCCACGTCTCTTCTTTGACATCATTTTGTTGATCTGTGGTATATGTATATTATTTTCTGCTCCATCTAATTCTAAATGATCTTATAGAAGAATACATTGATTTTTTTTCTCTCGTTCGTCCTTCGTTTGTTCGTGTTAATAATAATCATATGCCTGAATAATAGTTGTCTAAAACGTTGGAATCGGATAATGAAATATTAATTGAGATGTAAATCGAATATTTTCGTTTATTAATCTTTATTTATACATTTACTAGTGGATATATACAACAATCTATAATAGGTGCGCACGGTAATGTGGATGTGAATAGAAAACAGAAGAATAACATTGTTTCAATTGAAAATAATAAATGTTCTTAAATTATATGTATTAAATTGAATCATAAGTTTTTGACGATTTTGTATATATACCGCGTTTATATGTTGATTCGTGAAGTTAATGCTATTGGGCTGGAAGTACACTCTCTTGCATCAACTATGCTGCAGGTGTTATAAACTTAAAACTTGGTTTTACATGTCTATGTAAGTGAAATCAATCAAAAGATTCATTATGCAGCTGTATCTATCTATTTGTAGACACAGTTAGACATCCTTGAAACATTTTCTTCTTCTGTCCCCTAATGAGTAGAATGATTTCGATTAAATACAAAAAATATGTGCTTCTTCTCTAAGGAAGCAAAATAATTGTTGTTGTTGATGTTGTCTTCGACATCTGTATGGTGTACATTCCTGCTGAAGAGCGTCAAGCAGCTTTTAAGTTAGAAATTTTTTTTTGTTTACTCTTTATCTAAGAAAAACACACCAAGTATTTGGTTAGCTTTGTGTGTTCTATGTAAACAACAAGAGTGTAGGTATAGGAATATTTTTCCCATTTTAACAGATTTTTAGGCTAATTAGATAAACAGGCTGTGTGATTGAGAAATATTCATTAGAATAAAGTTTATAATGATATTACTTTGAACAATTATTATTAGTTACTCATCTAGACAAGTTATAAAGCAACACATACCGATACCATTAGAGTTAATTATAAAATAATATTTTCGTAAACGATGTCATCTATCTACATTATTAGCCTAGTAGACCAACTACAAAATCATTTTTTATTGGTTATAAAAATCAGTAGCATTCAATCGCCTATGGCTCATGGGAAAATCCTTGTCTGTAGAAAATTATCTTTTTTCCCATCACGTAACTAGGTGATGTATATAGTCTCATATTTTAGGGCATTTTCTCGCCAACTCGAAGAGGAACCATTAACACACGAAGAAGCTGTAAATGCAGCCAAACATCCTGATTTTGAATCATCTGAACGTGTTGTTATCAATGTGTCCGGTTTAAAATTTGAAACACAATTACAAACTTTAAATAATTTTCCTAGAACTTTATTGGGTAACCCACAGAAAAGGGTAAGATATTTTGATCCGTTAAGGAACGAATATTTTTTTGATCGTAATCGTCCAAGTTTCGATGCTATTCTGTATTATTATCAATCAAATGGTCGTCTAAGAAGGCCGAACCATGTTCCAATAGGTAAAAAATTGATAGTATAAGATTAGTATTGAATAATTTTCACGAACTATTTCGTTTATTTATTCGAATTTAGACGTATTCACTGAAGAAATCAAATTTTTTGAATTAGGCGAAGATGCGTTTAATAAATTTCGAGAAGATGAAGGATTTATTAAAGAAGAAGAAAGAATTTTACCGAGACCGGAAATTCAACGAAAAATTTGGTTATTATTTGAATATCCGGAAACAAGTCAATGGGCCCGTGTTATTGCAATTATTTCTGTGATAGTCATTTTAATGTCAATTGTTATATTTTGTTTAGGTATATATCGAGATCATCATTTACTTCTAAAAAATATTGCTTTATTAAAAAAGTTTTGGCAATATGTTAAATTGATTTTTTTTGACAATCAACTGATACTCGTCCCATTAAGGTTACAAAAGAGGATCTTCAAGTTTCATCATTAGGGACATCATATTTTCATTGAATATAAATTATCATAAGTTTAAATTCAAAAACAGAGTTTTTGCATTAAATTCAAAGTCACTTAGTGTTCCCGAGATAACTTGACATAAAGTAGAGTGCTGTATCCGATGAATGAGCATCGAAAGTTTATTAATTGAATTATTAGTATAGTTGTTCAAAACTCTGTTGCAGTCCAACGGGTTTTTACATACAGATTTTTTTTTTCACTTTATGCTAAAGCTGAACGTCATTTCATTTACATCTATTTTTTAAGAAACTCTACCAAAATTTAAACGTTACCGTGTGCGTGCTGCTGATAATTCATCGTACGATAATACCCGTTTAATGATTGAAGAAGACGATATTCCAGAATTAACCGAACCGTTTTTTATCATTGAAACATGTTGTATTGTCTGGTTTTCATTTGAATTAATCGTACGTTTTTGTTCTTGTCCATTAAAATTAGTTTTTTTAAAATCGATAATGAATATAATTGATATTGTTGCCATTGTACCGTATTTTATTACTCTATTTACAATACTAGCAGAAGAAAAAACAAAATCGAATCAAGCTATGTCACTCGCTATTCTAAGAGTTATTCGACTCGTTCGTGTATTTCGTATATTTAAATTATCTCGTCATTCAAAAGGTTTACAAATTCTTGGACAAACGTTACGTGCATCTATGCAAGAGCTAGGTTTACTAATATTTTTTCTATTTATCGGTGTTATACTCTTTTCGTCAGCGGTTTATTTCGCCGAACAAGGTGAACCAGAATCGTTTTTTAAATCTATACCAGATGCTTTTTGGTGGGCAATGATAACTATGGTAAGTTGAATTTTTTACCTTTCTAAAGATGATGTTTCTATAGTTGATCATTTGAAGATGCCACATATTTAACTGAATAATTATGAGTACAGGCAGAATGAGAACTTTCGGAATATTTTGTGCCTCTATCTGCTGCAGTTTTTGACACAGCCCGGTTGCTATTAGAGTGGAAATCAATGTCGTTGAGAAATAATAATGAGTATTCGAAAAAGAGCCTGTTTGATAGTGAACCACAGGCTATAATTTGGAGAAATGATTGTTTAAAAAAAATATGTTATAGAAAGAATGGGAACTATCTTCATTAAAGTATCTTTAGTTCTAAGCCGTCAAGAAAGTGTCCTTTTATACCCTCACTCTATTCTAATCTATCTAAAGGGGCCATTTTAAACACTCTACAATTCGCTAATTCACATTAGTAACAACAAAGATTTGTCTTAGAAAGAAACAGTTGAAATTCAAAAGAAAAATTTGTGTTGTAAAGCTATTTTTAAAATTCGAATAATTTTCCTCATCATAAAAGGCATTATAAACGTAGAGTAGAGTAAAATGTAAGTTATTACAAATAGAACTACTGATTCACTTCCCTTGGTATACGACTGAAGCTCGCTCGTTTCACGATGTTACTTTTGTGCGACTTTCTAATGCAGTCGTACAGTTGACGTTGGACTCTGCAAGACTTAATGCACTAGTTGTCATTTCAACTCGAAATGTACCGATATTGGTCATAGTAGTATTTTTAAACGTTTTTATTTCTTATTCAATTAACATGGCAATACGAAATTCTACAGCGTAAAATAGACTATGCTTTATTGGCCATAAAGTACTAATGATAACGGGAATTTATTATAGAAGTTTGATAGAGGTACAGTGTCAATTATGAAGAAATATTAGATTATTCTATCTACTTCAATTATCACGTTAACTGCTGTGATAATTTGACCTTTGAGTATAATATAATCCAATGACAACATTATATAATGCAGTAAATATTTATTCTCGAATAGATATAGCAAAGCTCTCAGTAGAGATTTGCAAGTTAGAACCCCAATTGAATCCATCAAAAAAGAATATTTGTTATTACTATAAAACTAATGTGTTTCTTTTTTTTTCTATTCTAGACTACGGTAAGTTAACGGCGAGATGTTGGCTACCAACATTCCATCAGTATCTTATCTTTTAATGCTGTTTTTTTTCCAAGGTTGGCTACGGTGATATGAGACCTGTTGGTATATGGGGCAAAATTGTCGGTTCCATGTGTGCTATTGCCGGTGTGCTGACCATTGCCCTTCCTGTACCTGTCATTGTTTCCAATTTTAACTATTTCTATCATCGTGATATTGATTCGGAAGAACAAAAAGATATTAAATATGCAAATACCGATAATATTGCGGCTGAAAAAGCGGCTGCAATTAACGGTGACGGTACATGTGGTACAGCACATGTTAGCATCGGCAGTTCAATTAAAAAATCCGATTTGTCCTCAGCTGAAAGTTATCAGCATTTAGGTGAATCTGATGCATTTTTACATGAAGAAACATCGAATTTTCGTAATGGTAATCATAAAGGTGCCGTTTGTCCAGCAGGAGTAGGCAGCGTCGTGGCAAATAGTCCATTGACACAAAGAAAAGTGAACAGTGCCAGTATAAATAATATGAATGTTGAAACAGATGTTTGAGAGATCTACTTTATTCTATTGTTTATCCGTCCATAACCACGACAAATAAAGAAACAGTTTTAGCTTTTCTCGAAACAGATGACCACATCCTCACACCGGTACTCTTCTCTGTTTATTTTTATTTAGAAAATGAACAAATAAAGCAATAGATTAACAAATGTAGCAATCTAGACTAACAAGAAATTCTAAGCATCTATCAATGTCTTCCTATTCTCGTTTTAATGTGTGTATGTTTAATGCGCATTTTAATATCAATATATGTTTTAGTTTTTTTTTTTGGTTCTTTTATATGAATATTTATGGTACAAATTTCTACATGTACGTTTTTTGTTTTGTTCCTCTTTTTCCTCAGATGGTATTGTGTACAAAAAAATATATATACTTGTGTACCATTCACAAGGAGATGAATGGTATGGAGAAGAAAAATGGTATAGAACAATAATTCACAATTACGATATGAAGTGCTACTTGTAGAGAACATGAGATAAAAAATTCTGAGATTTACTAATCTACAATATTCGATGAAAAAAGCGAAAAAAAGTGTAAAATTTGGAATTAATAAATATTGATTAGACGTTATCTATTTCCTACGAGAAAACCGATTTTAGTTTTTCAAGAGAGGTTTTGCCACAGCACTAATCATTTTTAACACTGAAAATTGTTTTACATTGAAACTCAAAATCAACATGACTGAATTTTTTGGAGACCTTGGTGATGTATATACTCATTGAGAAATCGGGATTTTGTCGAACGGCACAGGAAAAAGTTAAAAATAGTGACCTCTTTCATATTTTGACTGTAATAACTTCGTGGATATTTATTTATTCTCTCTGATCATCATTTCAGCCGAAAGAACGGCTATTAGTCGACAATCAGATCGATCTGAAAGCTGAATTAGTCATGGTTTTTTTAATTTATGAATACTTTAAAAACACCGGTTTTATGGAATTTATTTTTCATTTCTGGTTTCGAGAAAAGTTAAAATGAAATTATAAAATTTATAGTGTCGGCATATAAACATTTTTTGAATCTGGTACCAAAACAAAACTTTGTTTCAGGTTAAGGCACGAACTTCAAATTTAAGAAATTATTTTTTAATTAAAATTATTGAAATAATTAAACGATAAGAAAAGTTTCTGGCTTTTGAAGTTCTTTCAATTTATCAAACGAAGAGAAACGGCAATTAATGTTTCTGGAAAATGTCTAACTATTTTTGTATAAAAAGAAACAAAGGTTAAGCTTTTTCTGAAAGTTTTTCTCCTGTCATAAATAAAATATTTACATTTAATGTCATTTTTTCTTTCTCGTTCAAAATTTAAAATATTTTGCAGTTGTTTTTCATTATCTTTATTCTAACATTTCATTTTTCCAATCATTCCCATCGATTCAATATTTATTTTGTGTAAACGAGTCAGTCACCACATAAAATTTCATTTTGAGTTTCGGAATACTACACTTTTCCATTGGTCCCGGATACGCCAAGAGAACTCTTGATTACTTTTTTCTATGAAACTAAAGATGATCTTTAATCATTCATACATCATCAGAAAAGTTTTTCATTGAAAATCCATGAAATCATTTGCTTAAAAAGTTTGCTTGTTTCTCAATGACTCATTCGTTGAAAAGAAAGAAAATGAATCAAATTTATTACGATATTTCATGATTTTGAGTGGCAAGGGTATTACATTTTTTTTCAAGTGTATAACCTTTCTGATAAAAGTTTCATGAAATTTTTCAAAACTGTTTACTTCAAAATGACATGTCTCCCGACTGTATCTGATTGGAGTTGAAAAATTTATAGACATTTTATCTGAATTCCAAAACACTTCGAATTTCTGAATCTCAGAATGTCAGAATTTCACATTGTGACTCTACTCTAAAGTTCAGAAATTTACGAAAAGCTGAAGAACACGTTTTTAGAGTGTACCTTGGAAAACGTTTTTAGATTTTTTCTTCGTTTCAAATCACTTTGTCAGCAAAAAGAGAAAGAAATTTCTTGTATTTAAGTACTGATGAATTTTTTTTATAGAACCGAGTTGTGAAAAATGGCGCTATAGAAATCAGTTATATCTTCGTTCTTACTTACATAGATGTACAAGAGCAAAGCAAAAGGTTTAATGGTCCAGAGCTGCAGAATTTGCCTGTTTGTTCCGACGGTCGTCGGGCGAAAATTTATTGATTCGAAGAAATTTTTTGGAAAACTTTTTCTGTTGTGGGAAATTCTCCAATCTCACTGGTAGGTTCTACACCTCCGATAGAGTCATTAAACCTTATTCAGATCTTGATGCATTCAAGTTTAACGAGTTCACGCATATTCATATTTTGTTCACACGCACAAACGAATTTCAGCTGAAATAGCTGTTCTTAACTAATTTGAACAAGTATGAGTATCGAACGCGTTCTAACCCCTCTAAATGTTAACGCGTTCAAAGCCGTTAAATTCAAATGATAAAATACTTCACTTATATTAGAATTTAGTAACTTCAAACACGTTAATGATGCATTCTATTAATCCTTTTCAACGCGTTATATTTCTGTAATCATTCTAATACGTTAAACTACCAGATAGAACGGGTTACAAAGCGTGAATTTTCCAAAAAATCGATGATATACGGTGTAACGCATTTAAGTAATGTACAAGTTAAGGATACATGTACCTTTTTCAATAAAAAGTTGTCTAACGCGTTAAGCGATGACTCACCAAAATGTCTGAGTATTCAAACCGTGATTTTCCAATCATAGTTTTGCTTTGCATGACCACCTCCAATATAAATATCATATCTATTCCTTTGAGATATACGATACATTTACATGCATTCGTTTAGAAATTTTTCTCTTACTATATATAAGAGTAAGAGACTAGTCTACCATAATGGCGCTGATGAACATCACCTAGTTGACCATAGCTGGGTGGATCTTGGTCATCAACAGAACAAAAGGAAGGAAAGAAATAGAAACACAGTTTAACGTGCTAGAACTACGTCTTTATCCGAAGTGTTATTCTAACGAGTGTAAACGCATTCCGAAAGCTAACAAGTTTAATTTTTTTAACGAATTCGAACACTTTACGATTAAGGAGCCACATTATCACGCGCTAGAAGTTCTAACTCGTTAGAATCACGGAATACGAAGTATTTAACGTAGTTCTAATACGTTAAGCCTCTTATGTTACGCTTTAGAGTTTTAAAATTTTCATGATTAACGAGTTGAACATATTTTTCATATTTTTTATAAAAACGCGTTCTGATGCGCTAAAACCAATTTGCTGTTCCATATAAGTTTAAAAAAAACGCATTCAGCAGCATTTAATTGACTAGTGAGCACGTGCTCAATTTTTCTTTTGTTTAACGCCTGTTAACGCACGTTAGAGTTTTCATGAGATTGTTAAGATCTTGAAATGTAAGCTTCTACACGATCTTAATAAGATAATTTTAAGAAGTGTCTGAGAATTTTACTAGGAAGAACTAAAGTAGAAATAAAACACTATGCATTTTATAGCCCTTGATATTTTTCATTTTATCAACTGAAAAGCTTTCGTTTTAAATAGAGTACATCATTATCAAAAATGTCCTAGAAAATACGTCGATTGGTCGTTTCGATCGTAGTGAGAGATATTATCAGGCAGAAAATTGTATAGATAATTGTGAGATTCACATTTACACTCATATAAATCTTAAGCCACCCACGGTCTTCACAAAGCGAAAAAAAGTGTTGATTTCCCCTGATAGATGTTGTGTTTAGTTGACTAAATCAAGTCAATATAATCAGCTACGTCGGTTTTATTTTATTTTAATTTCTTGAAAAGAACTGGTAACCAGTTTCCATTCAACAGGAACTGGTGATCAGTTCTTAAGAACTATAGGGACTGGAACTGTCCCACCCCTAATATACAATGAATAATATCAGGGACTGCAAATTGTATGTTGTTTCATTTTCCAGTTTGGTTTTTTGTGAGAGAAAAACTCAAATTTTCTAAAAAAAAGTCAGTATTCTAAAGGGTACAAATTCAATTTCTTCGTTATTATATTCAATATTTGGAAAGTGTGAATATATCATGTTCTGTGCCGTTCTTTTGAATGAAGTGTTGCGTATTTATTAATTTATTTATTCATTTTTCTCTGCGAGTTCGATGTTCTTAATAGAATCTTATATATGAAAACATGCGCAATCAAACGGGCTTTAAAGTGGTCTATAATGCATCTTTTCAAACTAATGTCTGCATCGAGTTATTTGTCAAATATTATCTATGATTATTTGCTGTCCATATATGTAACCCTCATTGAATATAATAAAATGCATATAGTTTGTCAGCGCACTCAGATCCGGAATGGTTTTATACACAGAAAAATGTACAATTGATAGGGCTACAAAATGATCTAGCTATTTGCTTTCGTGAATGTATTGGACAAATACTTGACAGGTATCTCGATTTTTTTTCCAATAGTAGCACATAAAAATGATTATAATTTCTACAGACAGTGATTAGGCATAGTTTGTATATAGAAATATGCAGAATTGAAAGGACTATCGAATGAGCTATAACACATTCTTTTAAAATCATAAGTTTGTTAGACTTATGGATGATAAAATGAAAGCCATATTTTTCGTGTTTTCCTATTAACTTCCCTAATTTTCGTGACACGAGGCCTTTCTTAAATTGAATGCTGCTTGATGAAACAGCGCTGTAGAGAGCTTGAAGGTGTCGTGATTTGTGCAAGAATGTTTTCTGTACACGATGAGGCTGTTACGACAAAAGTGTTACTTGAATTGGGGACTTGGTTTTCTAGGGTTTTGGTTTTCGAGAGATTTTAATGAAATATTTATTTGCCACAGACCAGACTAGAAACTCTCTGTGCCATGCAAATCTTTCTTCAGATTTGTTGTAACTATTATCTTAAAGGAGAAAAACTGAAAATACACGTGGTTCAATAGTTTTAGGAGCCATCGAAATAAAAGTCGCGACAGTCATACACTATTCAGCATATAAATGCTTGACGGTA